GTGTTATGCGGCAGTGGTAGTGCATCGAGTCATGATTATATCGAAGATTACGTGTGCTTGGGAGGTCCTGAAGCTCGTGTGCGCAATGCAAGGTTGTCATTTTATAGTGGGCATGCATCGACGGCGATGAATGTGGCCGTGTTTTGTGTGGTATGTCTTCATTTGAATTGATTTTGAAGTGTTATAGGGGGCATTGATGGTGTAAGATGAGTTTTTTGAGGAGTATTGTTTGTTCGATCGTTTTTTTTTTGGTGTGACAAGGGGGATCGGGAGGTTGGAGTGAGTGGTAGGGCTGTAATGTGAGGGAAAAAAGGCAGATAATTAAGGGAAGGGTGAGTTTTTGAGGGTTTTGTGCTGTAAGGAGTTGATTTTGCAGATGTATTTGCAAGCGCGTTTACCGAGAAGAATTTACGGCATCTCCTTATTGCCTCTATTTCAAACGATGTTAATTGGTGGCGCCCTTTTGGTGGGATATTCGAGGGTGTCAGATAACATGCATCATCCAACCGATGTTATGGTAGGGTTCGCTGCGGGACTCATGGTGGCCTTAGTTTCGGTTAGTTCGTTTTTGGGGATTATTATTGATATTTTTGTCATTTGTTGAGATTTTTACTAGGATATAGCGTTGTATTGTCTACTAGAGTATTGTGCTGTTATTTTCGAGAACGTTTTCAGGCGAAATCTATTCTTGTTTATGTTGGTGGGCCGGTAGGGTGTAGGTTTGTGGCGGATGGGGCAGTGGGGGTTGTGGTAATTCGCCCATTGAGAGTTTTGGCGAGTCGTCCGTACCCGAGTTGTATTTGGGGTGTCGTCGATTTGCCAAAAGTTTTGGCGGTTTAACTGTGACTTGTTACTGATTGTGAGTTTTAATTAATTAAGGCGATTCATTTTGCGCAATTGTTCCGGCGGCGTAACGTCGTGTACCACAGCGATGACGAGTTGATTCCGTTTGCCGCAGCGGAATCTGGGCAGGTGATAAGAACGATGGGTTAGGCGGATACTGCTGCTGGATGGACAAGGGCGGCGGCCAGTGAGAGAGAAGTATCGTCAGTGAGGACGATTTATGACTGATTCTGATCAGTATTCAGTTATAAATCATTGATAAATATGTAATTGGTTGATTGATGTCGAAGCAAAATATCGATGAATGAAGTGCTGCAGTTCATTACAGGTTTGGCTTTATGAATCTTTGGCATAAATCTATGGATGTTTTGCCTTTTACCTTATTTGGTTTGCTTCCCCCCCGGAATTCTCGTAGGGTTTCGGGTTTGGAGTAACTAGTCAGGGTGGTTATTGCAAGGGAAATGTTTTAGAGGGTAGTGGTGATGAATGAATGGAATGGGAAGGTTTAAAGTAATGAAATGGAAAGTTGTATGGATGATTAATTAGTAATGGAGGTGGGTATTGGGATGTAGGTGTAATTATTATTGTTATTATTTTTGGTAGTGAAGTAAAGTAATAGTAATATAATGAAACAAAGAAAATTGTAAGTGTGGCAATAGGGAGGGATGTATGTATTAATGTGGAATAACATAAACATTGCAGAGAGATGGGATAGTATCTTGCCGTTTTGATAGAATAATAATAATGATGATAGTAATGATAATATTGATATTGAAGTATTTATGGTATGGGAGAAGGGTGTTGACGTGTATGTGTGTATATGGGTATATATGAATGGCGGCGATATGATATGAAGATGGGGCGGTGCTTATGAAGAGTTGGGTTAATTAATTAATTGG